GGATTAGTGTGGACAATTTTTCCAGTGGAAAAAAATAATAATAAAAAGGTTTAACTCTGAGGACTCATGCTGAGTCCAATCACAACCAGCAACACATTGTTTGTTTTTAATTTTTATTTAGTTTTGTTGATTTATTAGAAGATTGCTGGAACCCCACCCCCACCTCACCTCACCCCCTCCTCCTCCTCCTCCTCAGGATGAAGAGGGGGGCCAGGTTAAAGGAAGGAGACCCCCCTCCCACCATGATGCACACGTTGCAGAGTTGTAAACATACTTGTGCACAAAGTAAAAATTATTACTTCCACAACGAATAAATAACACGACGAACAACGAGGTGATGTTAATGTGAAAACAGGCATTAAACAGTGACGTCACATCCACAAAACCGGGCCTATCAGCTGACAGCACTACTGCACGCGGTGACTCGTTTTAATGCATAGAGTGTTTGCACTGCAAACTGAAACACGCAGGAAAAATCTCCTCAATGAAGCACTTCTTCGTTTTTTTTATGATTTTTTTTTTGAATTTCTTCCCAAACCCCTCGTCTGTGATAAAGTGATGTCTGTACATACAAACCATTAGAAACCTAAAAGGGATTCTTTGTGCAAATTCAACATAAATACATAAATCTGTAGATAAATCGGTCTAACTCCTGTAGAAATCCATGCAGGCCCCAATTTAGCCCCCTTTTATTTATTTTTATAAAACTTTGCAACTAAATTTCGAGTTCATAGCAGCCTCCAAAATAAATAATAAACACATGAATAAATGATGAGTTACTCCAACAGCGACAAAAATTATACTTTAACAAAACAGCTCAACAATTAATGAGGTAATTCGTAAATGGCTATATTTCAAATAATAGGCCTATTTGGAGAAAATAACTCGCTATAGTATCAAACAAATGACCRTTTTCACCACTTTTTAAATGTTCTTTTAAAGGCAGAGTCCTAAAGTTTCCCTTCAGCAGTGAGATCTGTTTGCATACTTCACATTCAGCAGAAAACGTGAAAAGAAACAACGGGAGAGAAAAGAAAAACTGGAGCCCAGAGGCACCGACCGCTGCAGACAGAAGACCCAAAGTGTGTCTTTTTGTTTTAGTGTCCCTTGGTGGGTCCGTGGAGGTTCGGCTCGTTTGGGTTCTTTCATCAGGCAG